ACTGGACTGTGCGACAACTTTACCATTTCGCCACAACATGCCTCATTTTGTATATTGTTAATGTTTTTGTACCATTGTTTAAGAACTTCGCTATTTGTTAATGTTCATAGCTTTCTTTCTGTGTAATACATTGCAGTTCTCATAATAATATGTAAAGAAAGAATGTTTTGTACCCTCAACTTGTTCATTAAAGTCTGACTCCGATCCATGTGAGCAGGAGACGATGCAACGCTATCTGCTGATTTTTGGTGGTAGTCTGAATGGCTCGTCATTAAAAACGATTCATTGCACGCGCATCGGCCGACGACCTTTGTGTGTAGTGAGTGCGCTGCCTAAGATTTTGATTAAGAATGTTTTATATTTTGTCAGAATGATGCTGATAAGTGCGTTAGTCAGGGAGTTATACGACAAGATGGATTTGAACCTCTAACATCTCTTGTGCAGTATTATCAAATGGTAAGAAAATTTATTAGCATCCCCACAGCATGTAACCCCTGTATATTGAGGGTTTTGGTTCACCGTTCTGTTTTGTTTATTCTTGTTAACAATTCATTTATTATATATTTTTTAAATATAAATTAACTTTTGTTGATTTTCTGGGTCGTCCATGCAACCATTTTCAGTTTAAACAGACAATTTTCTCTATTGTGTATGTCATTGTTATTTTATATTGTATTTTTAATGGATTCTGAAATAAGTATGTAAAGTAAATATTTTGAAACACAGGCTTTCAAGCATACAATATGCTTACCATGTAAAAATTGACTCGATTCCCATTGTTTAACTATGTCCTTGGGCAAGGCATTTAACAGTATACATGTTTTTTCCTTCATTCTTCACTCAAGAGTATCAAAATGGGTTTTAACAGGATGTAAATGTTGTCATGTAGACTTAGGTTACTCTGTTAGGTTTTATGCAAGATAATAACACTTCCCCAGAGAGAGGAAATACTCTACTTTAAGTTTATACTGATTGTTTCTGTATTTAGTGCCAGAGAAGGATATATATATTTTTTTATTCTTCATATAGTACATACTTTCAAAATGTTAATGGAAATTAATAACTTTTGAGGTGCCCTGTCCATACAGTACATTATGAGACCAATTATTATAAATAATGTAATAAAAAATAAAAAATATTTTTATTTTATTCAAAAATGTTATTAATATTAGTATACATATTTGGATTATAAAATCTCAATACCAAAACTTAAAAAGCAAATGTGAAAATGCAAAATGATGTAACAAAAAAATAAATGGAATTAAAAAATGTTTTTATTTTATTCAAAACTATTATTAATTTACTATATTTGATAATATCTCATGCCAAAAATTAAAAATAAATTTTGAAAGTACAAAATGATTTCTTTATTATTGCCTTCACACTTTCAAAATGTTAATGGAAATAAATAACTTTTGAGGTGCCCTGTCCAAATTTAATTTAGCTAAAGCATATGACATGCCTATATATGGTCATGATATCATCACATCATACTCCATATATAGGCACATCATGGCTATATATGGGCATACAACAGTTTTTTGTCAAAGAAAATTTGATAGTGGAACCAAGCTTGCAATGCAATTTTAAAAATTAAATGAAAACCAAAATGTATGATATTGAGAAAACAAATTAATTTATGGTTGTAAATTGTACTTTCGTTTTATTTATTTTACTTTTTTTTCCCTGGAAATCAAATAATAATTTAAAAAAAATTAATAAAATGAAAGTTTTTGGTTAATGTACATTACTTCCTGCTCTTATTCTCATGAAGAAAGAAATGTTTCGAGAAAAAGATTCTAAAGTGAACAACCACTCAACATTCTGGCAACTGATACTTGAAAACTTTAGAATGTAGATGAACAGATTATTATTGTCACTATTATTATTACAACCATTCTGCTAGTATCGTGTTATTGTATTTGTGAAACTAACTAATCTCTTGTCTGTAAATTAAAATGCCGAGACACAATTCACAGAAATTCTTTTTGAATTGTAGATTGGTAAAGGTAATTTGGTTTCTTTTTTGGTTTCTATGAATGATTTCAACTTTCTACTTTCTAAGCCAAAGAAAAACAAAAAAATACAAGTTCAAAACCTGATAAAATTCTTTCAATATTTGAATAAATTTCAACTACATTATTCATGATTTTTTTTTTTATAAAAATACATTTATATCACAGACACTTGTTATCTTTACACATTTTGTCTGCTTACCAGCTTATTTCACTTTCAAATCTAATAACAATTTCTCTTTATTGATAAATCATGGTTAAAATATTCATTCACTTTATTCATTGTTGCTTCATCTTTCTATACCTTCTATACTGCCTCCAGTTTTTAATTAACTATACAGTTTGCATCTGCTGTTGTTCACAAGTATAATAAATAAATGCATACAAATTTTGCTATGAGAAGGTTAAAAATATATGCATATTTAACAAAGGCGAATGGCACTCTTATATGTTATGCCAGCATGTTTGTGGTTCAACTGCTTAGCAAGGCCAAACTCTGCTTGCATTCCATTTTTATTTAATTAGATGTAAAATTTACTAGAACCCTAAAAGCAACAAATTTGCCATAACTAAATTCTAGTGCCCTAGTCTGCTGCGATGCCTATTAAACAACGTTATTAGTTAATGCATTCTGCGTAGTAGGAGGGAGCTCTGACGTCGTAGTGGGGCACATGTCTGGGATTCTCACTGAAAGAATTATACCAAAAGTCTAGGTATTTTAATAGACAATTAGTTGAAAATAGCCAAGATAAAAAAATGTTAGTAAAACACTGAAAATGAATGGAATGATTACATATATTGCCTCAGGGTACCTAATCTTCAAATTGGTATTCTTTGGTGGCGAGGATTGTGAGGAATTTACTAAAGACGAGGCAGATATAGGCATTGTTGATGTTTCTGGGATTACTTCATTAACATTGAGCGTAATTGCTGTAGAGCCCTCTGAGTTGTGGCCTTTCACGGTGCATGTGACTGTTGTTCCATTCAGAGCGGTAGTAACATCAGGTATGATCAAGACTGATTTATTATCAGTGTTGAAAATAAGCTTATTATTTGTAACATTTTCAGAGGATGTCCATTGATATTTTAGATGTAATTTGGTGCTGGTGTCATTGTCTATCGAACACTTCAAATCTGCTTCATCTCCTACAATCAGCTGTTGAGTTGTTATAGAACAACTCAACAATAATACCAATGGTGCAAGCATAATAATACTGTATAGTGACGTTGTCTCCAACTATATAGTATGGTTTGGAGGATGAGCACACGGGCGCAGGTTGTAAGAATACTCTTGCCTCAATCGGAGCGGATTCTAAGTAAATAAGAGGCCCAATGGTGATACTGTAATTCCCACTGTCAGACATGGTTACGTTAGTTACATTCAGAAAAAAATTGAAAATTAAGCTGTCAGCAGGTTTAAGACATGAAATGTGGATACGTTTGCTGTCTTCTTTCAAATATATATTGTCCTTCTTGAACTGGTAGTCAGATATATTAGATTGGTGCGGATCGAAAAATCTACATTTAATATGTAGTGTGTCTCCAACTAAATAAGTGGTTACTGAATAATGGAGTGTTCCATAAATCTGCAGTCGGGTGACCTATACTGACAATCCATTTGACAACAGCTGAGTATCACTACTGCTAAGATGAACATGTTGTGGTTGCGTAAGAACATCTTATGCAATCTAGAATAAATCTTTGATGGATCAACAATGCATACCAATTGTGTGCTTACTGCAAAAAATTATGGTGTTGCAGTTTCATTGTTTATTGCAACTGTGAGGATATGGATTACTCAGCCTAGAATTGTGTCAATTACTTTTACTTGGTTGATAAATTAGGTTTTAATCACCACTATTATCTGTGAAGAAGTAGTCCCAAATTCATTGATACTGTATTATGGTAAACTTCTTAACTTCTTCTTCTATTGTTTTATATTAATTGTAATTAAGTTAGTTACAAATGTTATTATGCTGTTGCAGTTTCATTGTTTATTGCAACTATCATTCTTTTGGTTTTGATTATTGTTTAGAGTACTTACATGTCAGATATAGGCATAAATAGTACATACACACATGCACCTAGAAATAATGCAATGAGGAAATGACTGATACCATCTTAATAATACTATGAACATGCAACACCAGTATAAATTACCATTAGGAGTAGGATTCTGCTATCTATCCTTGGTATATATCATAGCGTGACTATGTACCAAACAGCTAACTAGAACAACTGACATGTTCACTATGCTTAGAAGACGGCGTTTGCGGTGGATTGGCCATGTAGTTTGACAGGACAAAAGCTGCCTTCCAAGGAACATCCTTTATGGTAAACTAGTGAATTCACCTCGACCTCGTGGACATCCGTACCTTCGTCATAAAGATTAAACATGATCTGACTGCTTTCGCTACACCTTCTGTCATGTGGGAGACCGTGGCGATCGACAACCAAATCGTGTGGCATTCTGCTTTGACGATTGGTTGTCAATTCTCATCTAATGCATATGTTGGTGAATGCAAAAGACTACACAGTCTTCGTCATTAGCAGAGGAGATTTTAAATTTTCTTTTACATATAACTGATATCTGTCTTTGTCTTTGGACCTAAGCTTATCATCTGCTTGACAGGAAAGGTCATACTATGTGAATAGGATTAACAGAGCTGTAAAAAGTCCTGGGTCTGGGACTTGAGTATTTGAGGGCTGGGCTAGCAAAACATACATTAAAACTAGACCAATATTCAATAGCTGATATATAAGGGCTAGCAATTTGTTTTTAGCAAAACTAGACCTTGGTCTTAGCAACAAAAAAAACTGGGTGTTTGATAGTTCCTGTGTATACCCAAAGGGCGGATGAACTCCTCGGAGCCAACGGCCAAATCATGCTTAGTTTAAGGAGTAGGATTAGTTAAGTATCATTATATTTGTATTCTTATTTATGTTAAGTGCATAGAGGTCTCTATGATATGCGCTCTATAAGTCGACGATTATTATTATTATTATTGTGAAATGGTTTGTATTGTTTTTTCTTCCAGGAGGTAAGAGTAAGTATACGTCTCCTCCTCTTGAAAGTGTTCGGGTGCATATGCTCGTTGGACGGCAATGGTCTCTCCCATCTACTGTCTTCTGTACTCCCGGTTGAGATAGCGCGAGATATGGCCACCGACACGAAAAATATTCAGAAACTCTGCTTCTCGGCTCTTGTGCTCACCATGTTGCTCTCGCAGGGAGAATCTGTTCCATACACGCATTACGGTAAGACGCTCAATAGCATAACTTACTTAGATAACTGGGAGTGCACAGATATATTAGTACTAAAATTTCATCATTGCTAGTAAGTGATACTATAGGAGAAATACGTCAATGATAATTTTAGATGATAATTTATGAGATTAATGGTAGTATTATTATAATATTTTGTTGTCACAAAGACTACAGTGCCCCCTCCAATTCGTGACAACTCTAATTCCGGCCAATCTAATTCAGGACCATCTTTTTAAAGAACCAAATAACAATCGTCAATCTTTTAACACAAAGCTAACCCCCGTAAGTGAAGACCAAACCTCGAGACCACCCCAAATTATGAGATCCCAAAGTTGTCTCAAATTGGAGGGCCAACTGTATTAATATATGAGGCTGGCCATCCCAAAACCCGCGTAATGTCGCTAAATGTTGAACTGAGTAATTAAGCAAAAGAATATGCCACTATTGTAAACTTTAGTACAGAGAAGCTGTAGTAATTTTACTCATAACTTTGGCAATAGTAAGTGGATTCCAGTAAATGAGCCATCATTTTAAAGCTTATAAGTTGGAGATTATGAATATATTAAAAAGTAACTTTCCATGTTTTGTCACTAACGCTGAGTTTGGCATGGCAAGCCCTATATATTGTTATTCATATTATATTACTGGTATTATTTTTATTAATTGTGTTTATAACTATAATTATTTTTCATATTAACATTATTACCATTATTGTTACTATTTATTAAAACTTTTCCTCATTCTTTTTCTTTTCAATTAGATCAACTGAATGTTGAATTTGTGAAATATTTATTGAGCTCAATTGAGAACCCACCAATCAATGATGAGGATGAACAAATCCCTGACCTTTTCGTCAACGTCATCCTAGCATTTAACCTTCAGTTTCCCAGTAAGTTTACTTCAAGGTCATTTCAAAGGTTTGTCAAAGAGTGTTCAAGAGGTCCGGCTCCTGATTTTGCATACACTCAATAAAAAAAAAACACACAGTACTACCACAAAATAAGGGCCACCCTATTAAAATTCAAATGGCGTTCGAGATCAATACATGTATTCTCTACACAAGGAGCACATGTTCAACATAAACAACCTTTACACTTGTTGCTGTTTCTTCGGTTGATAATGTAGCGTGTATGTGTTTGCTCTCTTGGACGAATTCGTCCGGATCTTCGATCATGCCAAATTCTAATTTAATTGTTCTTTGTCCGTTAGTACCGTACGTGCTGTTGTATGTCTGTTCTTCGTATCTTCTTCTTATTTAAATGTTATTTGCACATTTTTTTTTATTTGAAGAACACCCTCTAACTCATGTTATATTTTTGGAGATAAAATTGCGTTTCAAAGTGAACATGAAAGTCGGGCCACTAGCTATTTTATACTCTTTGGTTTTGTGTATGTTCACCGGAAGAAGTGTACTGTGTTTAATGAAAATCTCGGACTGGTACCTTTGCTTCTTACAGTTTATTGTAATAGACATTGAAACTGTTAATTTTGTACAGTTACAAAATATCACGACCTTGTGGAAGAACACTGTCTTAGGTGAACAAGTTTTAAATGTATATTTTCATGAATAAATAAAGTTTTTGATTGATTGAATGATTGACAAGTAATGGCTCACCATATTATTAATTATAATTGGATAATTGTTCTTTAATCAGCAACCTAATCGCATTTTAATTGAGTAAAGGTGTTTAACAAATCACTTTTTAATTGGAGATTAGATTTTTATTAACAATTTAGTCACTTTCAATTGGATATGACCCGGATTACATTTTCTTTGTGGTATTTGTAACAATGGTTTTATTTGGATTTACTTTGATCCATATAATAGAACAATACATTAATCTAAAATGTGTTGCTTATCAATGTAAATTAGATAAATAGTAAATTTTGTTTTACAGTTCCAGCAGAAAATCCAGTAATGAAGGCCTTTTCTGAAAGTCCAAATGTGAAGTATTTTACTGAAAAGTTCATGCTGCTGGTAAATAGGGAAGGTAGGTGTGCATATTAAAAATCATTGTGTTTATAACCAGCATTGGTGCCAGGGCTTGCGGGGGGAATTTTTTCCCGTCGGACAGGCCCCATATTCAGACGCCATAACGAGGTTGTTGGACCAACAATAATAATTTGTCTATCCAAATAACATTATTTGGATCGCCAGTTCCTAATAATTGTGGTCTAAAAGTACAGTTAAAACCCTCTATCTGAATGGTACTGGGTATATTGAGCTCTGGGCGGCCCCTGGGTCAGGAGCCCCGGTCAGACGTAATATGGCAATAAAAATATCATTATTTGGATAGACAAATTATTATTTTTCATCCAAACTCATTGTGGCATCTAACAAAAGGGGGTGGTGCAGGCCTGTTCGATGAGGGGTAGGGGAGACTCAAAAGCCTGCAGATATTATAATTTTATAATTTCTTTTTTATTCTGTTTTTCACTATTTTTATGAATTAATCTTCTTGGTAAATGTTATATGTTATGGGTTTTTTTCTGCAGCGGACCCAATCGCCATGTTTGATCATGAGCCAAAGCCACAGAATTCAATGGTCAAATTCTTAGCCGATATTTTCTCATCGACACACACATCAAATATATTCTACACCAATGATATGAGGGTTTTGATTGACATCATCATACGACAGCTGACAGATTTATGTTCAGGAGACAAGGTATTTTACATAATAATACTAATCTATTATATTTAAAGGAACCCTTTCAAATAGGTTGCTGTAGGACAGTGGTGGTCATAAAAGTGAGTTGGAGCCAAAGTGATTTTTTTTGTTTAACCTGTGGGCTGCACCCAAACTTCGACATTTTCAGAAAAAAAAACCTTTTTACACTACTTTTATACCACTTTATGTGCTTCTAATGAGCTTTTTTTTTTTAACTTCTGATGTTTTGTACAATTTTATCAATTCAGCCATTAGATTCCCTTTACAATTATGGTGTTTGGATGAATAAACCTTGAATTATTAATTTTTTTTTTTTTAACTTCTGATGTTTTGTACAATTTTATCAATTCAGCCATTAGATGCACTTTACAATTATGATGTTTGGATGAATAAACCTTGAAATATTAAAATAATATCTACATTTTAGGACTAAAATGGGGTTGAATAGCTCAGTGGTTAAGATACTTGCCTTCTGATCCAAGGATCCTGGGTTCAAGTCCTGTTACGGTAGGACTTTTTCTCACAACCAAAACCAACACCACTACCAAAGCCTCATAAAGAGACTTGGTTTATAAAGCATCTCATTCTCATCCTGTGAGTGGCAAGTGTACTTGTTGTTGGATGTAAAGGAAATTTTAAAAAAAAAAATTTCTCCAAAGTGTACTTACTTCAATGGTAAGTTGTTAAGGATGTGAAAGTATTTTTATACACAATCAAAGACATTATTGTCCATTTCATGTCATATTTTTATTGTTTACATTTAGAATCGTACAGAATACATTTCCCTCGTCCATAGCATCCTCCAAGTTACATCATACAGTGAACACAGACACCGCAGGGATGACCTTGAAAAATGCTTCAGATCAATAGCGGAAGAAGAGAGCCAGTCCAGTGAGATGGATCGCCTCATAGTTGCAGAAATTTTCAAGCAGTTCCCTGACCTTTTCTAGTTGGTCTGAATCTGGTGGTGTGTGCTTGGAGAAATTTTCCTGGTTTTTTTTTCGAACAAAAAATTTAACCAAAAATATATTCACCATCAGGGATATTTATACAATAATAATAATAATAATAATAATAATATTTAATAATAGTAATTAATAATATAATAATGTAATATTGATGGCATGAATTATTATCATAATAAAATAATATATAATTTAATAATATCGATGGTATAAATTGGTATCATATTATATATAATGGTTATTATACATTGTATTAATAACTATAATACGTAATGGTATTTGATATGTTGATTATAATTTATGCAGTACTGTATGTTTCTCTATGTAGCAAGTCCCATCATGCTTTCCAAAATGTAGCAAAGATCTTTTCAATGCTTATTAGCAAGAAATGTTCCTGGCTGCTATTTTTTGTTAGTTTACAGTGAAATACATTCATAAAATATTTTCTTAAATATATATGTAGCAAGGACATATTTCTTTTTCATTATTTTGATGGTACACAAATTATCAATTAACTATTTTAAAATGGTTTATTTATAAATAATGTTATCTGGATAATTTTTTTTGGGGTGATTTTTTAGTTTTTATTTCCTCTTTATTTTTGTGGCACCATTAAAAGTCAGTGGTGGATCCAGAAATTTGAAATGGAAGTGCCCGGGGAAGAACTTTCGCAGATGGGAGGATCTGTAACACCTCAGCCCCACCATGGTTGATGAGGTAAGAAATGTATGATTATAAGACTTCTTGATGGCTGGAAATGGCATTCTCAGATATAAATTTGAATATAATTCCTTTTTTCTCCATGTTTTTTACAATTTTGACAAATTTCAGGTGGGGGCAGACAGGTCACCCCACCCTTCCCAAATAAATCCACCACTGCAAGTTGAAATCTTAATTGAAAACCTTTAGCAACCAGGTTTAATATTGATAATTTTCTAGTACAGAGCAAAATTTGAAACAGTAATTTTGATTCTTAAATATTTATTTAGCAAGAAATGGTTCAGTTACACATTTTTCTTGTATCTTAATTTTTTAAAGAAAATATGGCTATGAAAAAAAAAAGGAAAGGTGACCGAAGTTTTTGTTTGGACAGATAACTAAACACACCGTGCCAAAACTTTCATAGTATTTTTTAGTATTTTATAAGAATTTTTGCATAATTATTATGGTTTTCCCATAAATGCAGCACTGCGCTTGGAATGCTTTAAAGTATTTATTCATTGCTATGTTTAATTCATTGTATGTTACAGATTGAATGATCGTATTTATGGTAATGTCACAGGATGCAATCTATAACATGATGCATTGTCACGTGACAGATGATTACATGCAGTATTGTCACATGATTTACAATGAGGGGTGCACCAGTGGAGGGGCCAGGACCCGTGTCGAGAAGTGCTGGGCCCTGTCAGGGAGTGCTCCCCCCTAAAAACACAATTCTCTGGGAAGAAAATTAATTACACATTTTTACATACAGACTCAGAGTAAACATTTATGATAGTTTCTTGGACCCATTCTGAGAGATTTTGATCACGCCTATTTGCATTATCCCTCGACCAGGGACATTGGACCCACTAATATACTAACCCTGGCACCAATTTAAAGTTTATACATAACTGAAGTGCATTCTTTTACTTAATTTCAAGGCACATAAATACAAAATATATAAAACAAAACATGTAAATTGGCATGGCAGATGACACATTGAGAGGTGACATATGTTGTAACATGATGTCATGTCATGTTTGTGTGTTTGAGATGATATAAATGCTAGAATATTATTTACTTTTTTAGCCTTTGTGCCTAAATATACAGTATGTGTAAATCAGTTGATTTGTCAATATTCCATGGCATATTGGTTTATAGCTAGTAAGAATATTATTATGGCAATATTTATCTCTTTCATAGTTGTAGAAATAAATACTGTTAGCATTGAATTAAATTTTGGCTTACAAAATGCAATAAATTAACTCAAATTGTCTTAGTCATGTGCAACTTGTTACAGATACAGAGAGGCTGCCTGCAAAGTTTTTGCGGTGCCAGGAGAGTTGATAATCAAACCAGTGTGTCAACTGCCAAATGAAATATTTTCTACACCAGTTTGTCTCCTACTATTGTAATATTCTCATACTTGTTGTTTTTAATGGATAATGTTTTCTTGGATCTAGGAATATTCCTATAACAGTGGGAGGGTGCACTTACTAGCAGAATTTGTGTGTAGGATTTTCTTTCTACCCCATAACCTAAACAGACCCCTAAACCTGCAAGAGTTTCGATACTAAGAGGAGTGCCTCCTTATGGGGGGAGTGTTTCCTTTCAGCATATTATAGGTGCTATGTTGTGAATATATCTTGAATCAGTAAATTTCTGTGGTATATGATGTTTTTATCAATAAATAAGTTATCGATAAGTGATGCACTTGTAGTGGACCAGTTTATATACAGTATTTGATTCCTAAACTTACTGGCAAATTGAAGAGAAAAAAATCTTTGCATTTAGAAGAGCTACTGTAGAATAATATTACTGTAACTATTATTATGTCACATTTGGTTGATCAATTTGTTTGCTTTTCAATTTAATATTATTCCAACACAGATAAGTGTGTGGTGAATATATTGATCTTTAGGCCTACAATAGAGCAGTTCAATATAGGATAGGTCACATTGCACATATTCCAAACTCCAACCTGTAATAAGCAAACACAGACCCTATTGTGGTATAGATAAAACTTGGAAAAACCCAAAAGTCCACTTTTGTAGCACTTGAGCAGTCACACCCACTAAGCAGCAGTCTTTAGTATTGTATTTCATAAGTTGGTGGTTGATGTTGAATACTCATAATTATATTGACTGGATCAAAGGCAGAGGTATGGTAATTTTCATTAGAGTTAGCTTAAACATTTATTACAAAATAAGTAAAAACTTAGTAAATCTACTTTATTGTATGTTGTTATCAGATCCAAAGGAGCCAAATTGCTAAAGGCAAATATTGAAATGCTACATAGGACCATAGACTTCCTCTGTGGTAGGAATAACTGATGAATGTTTGGATATAAATTGTCTGATAGACATATAAGGAATACCTAGAGACTATATGTTTTTCAGTGATATTTTTTTTTTAATTTGCAGGGTTATTTCAAATTAAAGATGGCTACCAGTGAGCTAAATCAATTTCTGGAAAATGTTGATGAGAAAATCTTAGAGTGTACCATATGCCTCAACAGACTTAAAAATCCTAAATCACTCAACTGCCTCCATACATTCTGTTTGGCATGTCTGGAAGACTGGGTTAAGGAGAAGGGTAAGCTGACTTGCCCAACTTGCTCAAAATCATATCCTATTTCAGAGGGTGGGCTTCAGAAGCTTCCACCAAATACTTTTATAATTAACTTATTAGAAACCATTGAACAATTTTCTGAAAAAGATCAGATGAAATGTGTTTGTGCTAAAGGACAAGCAAAATACTACTGCCAGGAGTGCAGACAATACTTGTGCTCTACTTGTAGTGACCATCACAAAATATTGCCAGTGTTGGCAAAACACAAGCTACATTCAGTGGAAGACATGCAGGCAATGAGCCTTTTACAGATCGCTTCGTTACATCCTCCACTGTGTTCTCTTCATAAGGAGCCATTAAAATTTTTCTGCTGCATATGCAATATTCCAATATGCATGGATTGCACAATTACAAAACACAAGGAGTGGGAAGGGAATCATAAACAAATCAGCATTTCTGAAGCATACCAGAAATTAAAGGAAAATTCAACAACATTGGAAAAATCAGCCAATCACTTCAAAAACAAATTGGAAGATGGCCTCAAAGATGTTATTCAGACTGTTACAGAACTAGAGAAAAGTAAATGTAAGAGTTTGAGCGATATTGACAATCATGTACATGAAATGGTCAAGATAGTCAAGGAGAATGGAAATAAAATGAAAAATGTAGTAAAGACAATCTATGAAAAGAAAAAGGAGGTGTTAGATGTACAAATACATGAACTGAAGACAACAATAACTGATATAACCACAAAACTGAGTTTGCTTAATCAGTTATTAAAGAGTGATGAAGTTACAGCAATACAATCAAGTGAAAAAGTAATTGCTGCACTAAAGGACAGAATAAATGAATTGCTAGAAACAAAGCCAGATGATAATGGACAAATTTACTTCTTTTTAAACAAACAGCAAATGGCTTCATTGAAACAATGTGATATTGGGACTGTAACACAGAGGGCAGCAGATTATTTAACATTAAAGGGAGAGGAATCTGTGTTAAAAGGTCAAACAATAGTTGTCAAAGTAATTAAAACAGATGAATATGAAGTATATGCAAATAAACTGAAAGCTACATGGACACAGCCTACAGGAGAAACCAACATCATGAAAGTTCAAGAAGATGACAATGGAGATTATTTTGTGAAAGGAAAATGCGTAAGTCCAGGTGTATGTAAACTAGATGTGAGTGCTGATGGTGAACCAATCAAGCAGTCACCAATGATAATCAAAGTAGAGAAGGAAGGATTAGTAAATACCATTAATGTAAACACAGCACATACCAAACTTACAGGTATAGTTAAGTGTGAAGGTGACTGCTTACTGGTTTCAAGTTGTAGAAATGAAATACTCAAGTACAAGCAATCAGGAGAATATATTGATAAGGTTAGTCTACCACAAGGTGTGAATGTTTTCAGTATGGTCAAAATGAATAATGGTAACATAGCTTTCAGTGATTTCGGTAATAAATACATCAACATATGTGATATGGATGGTCAGGTTATCAAATCAATTGGTCAAGGTATATTGAAGAATCCATCTGGTATCCATGTGGATGAGGCATCAAATGTTTTGTATGTAGGAGATTGGAGTATTGACTGTGTGTTCATGTTTGGTATTGACAGTGGCAAGATGATGAAGATGACAGAGTCAAAGGACAATCAAGAAAGCCTAATGAATGAAAGTATAGATGTTTCACTTACAAACCAAGGAGATTCTCTTGTATTGGAGTATAGTAACGGCAGATTGAATTTATTTGATAATGAGGGAAGGTTCATAAAAGTCCTTGTTAAAGCAGGTGACGAGAATGGTAAGGTGAGGTATCCACGTGCAGTAGTAGTTGATGCGGATAACAACATCATTATAACAAGTAACCACAAACTACAGCTATTCAGTAGTGATGGAAATTTTATTAAAAGAATTGATAAACCAGAAGATGGAATCAAATATCCACATGGAGTCTGCATCCTTTCATGTAATCCTAGAAAACTTGCAGTAGCAAGTAAAGGCAACAATACTGTAAAAATATTTAATTATTAATAGGTTTTAAATTGTTTAAAAATCTAATTTTAATCACTTAATGATATATCAGATACCATACCATTATTATGAATGCCTTCAAACAGATGGGTATTAAATAACATTAAAGTATAATGTTCTACTGCACCCACCTGTTTTTGTGGTATTCAAATGTGATTCACTTGATATGTCAGGTGTAGGCCATAGATTATGAATACAAACAAATGATACAAGTAGAAATTAGACAAACTATATATATATATTAAATCATTTAATTTCTGTACTGTATGGAGGAATAAAGTTTTACCTTACATTGCAGTTCGCCGTCCAATTCGAGACCCCTCTAATTTGAGACCACTTTTTCAAAGTACCGTACATGCTCCATCTGACAATCGTCTAATAGTAGACAGAACCCCGGGACCACCCCATATTCTGAGGTCCCAAATGTGGTCTTGAATTGGAGGCTTAACAATATTGGATGCCAAACTCAGACATATAACAAGAGCACTGTTAGATTTTTTGACATTTAAATTTAGATATAATCTTTCTAGTATACAGTATTACTGTCTCTTTAGATTATTATGTTACTGTCTGTCAATTATTAAATTTAAAACTCCTACTAATTATTTTTTGGGAAGTAATTTATTCATAACAAAAACAAAGAAGTACCATTTTAAAACTTTAATACATATGAAACAAATATATAAAACTAAATTACTGTATATGATTTTGATAATTATGTCATGGACTGGAATGATGCTTTACCGTATTTCGTGTTCCCTATTACTTTTATATGGATCGCTGCATATCATCTGCATAGATTGCTGTATCTGCATTTGGCATGTCTGCATAGCACGTGGCTTGTTGTTTATAATGCATTTGCATCGGCTGCAGCGTGAGTGGATATTTGATTTTCATTGAAGGAAGATGTTTTGTTTTTAGCTTTTAAACATGTAATGGTTGCTCACATGTGTAAGCAGACGTCAGTATTGATACTTTGCCTCTTATGATGTTTATCTGTTTTCTTGTCAGTCGACAAGTAATAATATTGTTGTTAATATATTGCTAGTCTATAATAAGATTAAGTAAAGTTGTTAACAGTATTTTGCTAGTTATAATGCATTGTTAATAATATCGCTGTAATAGTTCTTGGACGATTATTGTACTGCATACCACTTAAAAGCAGCAGTACTAATATTGCAATGTATTATCTCAATTTAACTTGTTTATGTTACTGTTCTGTATACCATTATAAGAGGAAGATAAACATTTTGTTGTAGTCTTTGTGAATAGATTCACGTATATTGAATTGATTCCGTTTGAATTCAGAGCATTTATTTTGTAATTGCTACGTAATGCTCATTTAAATTCAATGATTAATAGTGTTCTCATAACTGATAATTAATTGCCATAGTGTTGGTATAGTGGTTCTATTACGAGTGGTAATCATGATCAGTGAAGTTACAGTGATAACTAATTAATGACTAGAAATTGCAAGTGAAGTGCTGCGAAGTACACCTGCATATAAATGTTCTTCGAACAAAATTATTTATGCGAGTCAAGTGAAAATAATGAATAATAAAAATATAACAAGTAATATGAGCACGACCCATTGTCTATAT